AATTTCAACTGTGAACTTAAGGAGAAAATGTGCATTTGGCTACGGTCAGTGTCACTACTGGTGGCATGAGGTGACACCTGGACCCTACAGAGGTTGCACAGTTAGTCCAACTCCTCCAGGATGGCGCATCAATACGTGCCATTGCCAGATGGTTCGCTGTGTCTCCCAGCACAGTCTCAAGGGCATGGAGGAGGTTCCAGGATACAGGCAGTTACTGTAGGAGAGCTGGACAGGGCTGTAGAAGGTCCTTAATCCATCAGCAGAACTGATATCTGTTCCTTTGTGCAAGGAGGAACCAGATGAGCACTGCCAGAGCCCTACAAACTGACCTCCAGCAGACCACTGGTGTGAATGTCTCTGGCACTGTGGCACCATGGAGCTCGATTGGCATTTGCCATAGAATACCAGAATTGGCAGGTCTGCCACTGGCACTCTGTGCTTTTCACAGATGACAGCAGGTTCACCCTGAGCACATGTGACAGACGTGAAAGGGTCTGGAGAAGCTGTGGAGAGAGAGTATGCAGGCAGTTCCTGGAGGATGAAGGAATTGATACCACTGACGTCCCCACGCTCCCCTGACCTAAATCCAATCGAACAACCCTGAAACATTATGTTTTGGCCGTCCAACGCCGCCAGGTTGCACCTCAGACTGTCCAGGAGCTCAGTGATGCCCTGGTCCAGATCTGGGAGGAGATCCCCCAGGACACCGTCCATCATCTCATTAGGAGGATGCCCAGACATGGTCAGGCATGCATACAAGCACATGGGGGCCATACAAACTACTGAGTACGATTTTGAGTTGCTGCAATGAAATTTCTTCAAAATAGACTAGCCTGCTGCATCATTTTTTCAATTTGATTTTTGGGGTGTCTTTGAATTCATCCCTCTGTAGGTTCATTTTCATTTCCATCAAATGATGTGTCATCCTTTCGTTCCTAATACATTACCTTGTCCATATCAGTATAGAAATCCAGCATTATTTTTATCCCCATTGAGATCTGATGTGTTTTCTAAATGTTCCTTTACTTTTTTGAGCAGTGTATGTACTCAGATGAGAAACTTTTTGAATTTTTTCGATATAAATGGCTGTGTTTTATGTGTATTTGTTATTTTTAAACAGCAGAAACATATCATGAGCATCTAGAATCTTGTACGGCCACTGTGGAATAATGGATTAATAAATATTTCACAATATGTTTGTTTTGGTTTTTAAGTTTAATTGGTATTACCAAACGGCAAAAACAATTTTAACTATTCACCAGTGTTCCTTCTGTTTCTTAAGTGTTTATTTGAAATGAAATGCGCAGGAGTGATATTTTAGTAAAAACGTCAACAAAATAGGCACAACAACCACAAAAAATGGAGACTTTACCCAATGTGATGTGAGTTGTGTGTATCTCTATGGGATAGTTATTAGTGTCCATGTCGGGAAGATCATGTCGAATATATCGTGGCCAGGAGGGGAATGGTTTCACTGTTAGGCCCGTCAGCAAGGCCCCTAACCCAAACTGCTCCTGAGATGCTGGTCGACCCTGTTCTGACCTCAAGATTTCCTCCTGTGTATTTCGCTTTGGAAGACAGAGTCAGATAAATATGTAATGTAAGTGAGCAGAATCTGCTGGCTGGTGTTACACATGCAGTCGTCGCTGGGAGCTATCAGCCACTGGTCAGGAGAACTTCCTCATCTGCTCATTTAAACGTATTCCAGTAAACACCCAAAGGTGGGATATACAGTCCAGCAGTTCCTGCCAAGATCCAAAGGGGATTTTCTTCTTATTTGCCCTACTCTGGAGAACCTGTAGACACAATTTGCTTGCTTTGCAATCCAATGGACGATAAGCTTTGTTAGTTTGTTTAGCTTGTGTTGTTGTTACAGAAGATGGAGAATGCAATAACTTAGCATGAGCCTGTACAGAGTCATTAGCCACAGTGCAGTAGAGTCTGCATCTGTGCTTGTGGCGGTTTAATTGGCTACTCTTATGTCTGAGGCTTCCGTGATCATTTACACTTGCCTCAATTCTGTTTGTGCTGGGGTTTGAGCCTGGCCTTGGCTGAATAGTCATATATCCGGGTGCCATTGAGTAAGGCCCTGGCTACCTAGGTGGTGCAAAGTAACTGACCCTTTAGTCTGACCCCCAATACTTGCTCTCACCTGCATGTGTGTCTGATGGAGAGCAAGATGGGGTTGGTAAAAGAGAACTGCCCCAGAGGGATTAATAAAGCTTCACTACTCACGATGTGGGGCCCTCCTCAAAGTAGCTGCTCTGAAATGCCTGCCCAAGTTGTAACATCAGTAACATCAAAGCAAACTATAGAAGTTAAAACATACAAGTTTTGAAAGTGTGAGTAGAGCTTTGGGGGAGTGGGGTACACACACCTTATTGGCATGTCAACTTTAAACAAGTCGAAAGCAAGTTTTTAGGTGTTGTTGGAACAAAGATCATCAGCGTGGCAGAGGGATTCTGTCTGGCCCTTCACTGGGGAGGCAGTGACACTGAGAGATGGTGTGGATCCAGTGTCCCACCTTCGAAGCTCATTGTCAGTGTTTGTAATACATACTTACGCACATTTTTGTAATTATATCTTTGTGGGGACTCTCTATTCATTTAAATGGGGAAAACTCTAATCCAGGGGTGTCAAACTCCAGTCCTGGGGGGCTGGAGCCCTGTGTAGCTTAGCTCTTTCCCTGTTCCACCACAAATGATTTAGCTAATGAGCTCTGTGGTAATTAGCACAAGGAGTTGAATCAGGTGCGTTAAATGAAGGTAAACCAAAAACTGTGCAGGGCTCTGGCTCTCCGGGACTGGAGTTTGACACCCCTGCTCTAATCCCAACATGACGGCCTTAACCCCTACCCGGCCCTTAACCGTAAGAAACCAAACAAAATACGAGACCTTTGGCGTTTTCACTTTTTTGATTGCATTCACAGAGTTTGTGGGGACTCAAAAAATGGTCCCCACAATGTCAAAATAACAGGTTTTTATAAACGTAATCCATGCCCCCCCACCCTCCCCCACATACACACTCACGCACACACACACAGAAGCAGCAAACAATATTAAAGTAGTCTAACATTATAGGTTCTCACTCTGGATTTAAATGCCACAAGGGTCATTCGTATATTGGTTTAGATTCTGTTCCATGGGAGTCCTATAGCTGAGGGCTTATCCACCCACTGTTCTTTGATTTATTGCCGTTAGATTAATTTTAGCTGCGACTGTGATATATATTACAGAGCTGGCTGTTTGAATCCCGCGACCCCAACCAGGAAGATTGATGGCTGGACTTTGCTTAATTAAAGGAATTTAAAAATGTGACAAAAACTGAAAAAAGGTGCACCTCTTAGGTTTCTGGTTTGGTATAATTTATCCCACTGTTAAGCTTGCTTCTGGGTTTTGTGTTGACCTGGGTCATTAAATGCTATAACTGCACTCTGTGAAAGAACTCGGGCAGAAGTCATGCACGGATATTTAGCCGCAAGCTCGCTAACAAGATTCCTGGAGTCATCGTCACACATCTGAGGCAGGGCGCTCAGCGATGAAGACGCCCGGCTCTGCGGTACATGCTCCGGGCCCACGGCTCGTTCATCAGTTCCCCAAAGTCATGGTTTCTCGGCAGTTCACATTTCTGATCGCTTGATTGCTTCTCCTTTTTCTATCATAAGAAGTGCTACTGCTACTGTGTCAATCATTGTTTAGCTGTGTAGACAGAAGATTCAGAATCCAAGCTGCATTTGACTTTTTCGATTCCTATAGCAGAATATCACGCTCGCCGTTCTGTACTTTACGAAGAACCACCGGTTTTTCTGCAGAATTTCATCAGCGCCTTCTATGAGAAGCCTAATATCTCCTACAATGACACAGAGCCTGTTCAGGGGTTAAGTGTTCACTATCGTCTTGTTTGTTATACTGATTACATAATTATCCAGCCTTATTTTGTGCTCATTTAAGAACCGCCAGCATGATGATGGTGACTTTAAATTGCCAGGAAAGTCATGCAAGGTAGGAGGGCGGGAGCACAATTTTCTGATTGGCAGTTAAGCCTTTCACAGTTACGATTACAAAAGCAGGCACTTAGAACATGACAACAGAAACACTCATAGCCCTGCTTCCAGAAGGAAGCTAAGCTCTTACATTTTTATCCAGAGTGAAGTACAGTTTAGAAATCAGAATTAGCCCCTCCCTCACAATTAATGGCCCCTGCTCAAAGGCGAAATCACACGGCAGATTGTGGGACTTGAACTAGCAACCTTCCGATCTCACATGTCCTTACCTTCTGAGCCACACACTGACCTCTTAAGGAAGCCTGCAAATATTGCGCTGATGATTTCTTTGCACTTTATTTTAGCTACTTTAACGTTGTTTTTTTTTTCTTAAATATAGATTCATGCAGTTACAGCGATACCTTTTACATTAACCCTCAACTTGGAAGGCGCAGTGCACAGGCAGAAGAATCAGCAGGTGGTTTGTGACAGGCAGGAACAGAATGTGTCCCACGGGGCAAAAAGGCCAACTGGTTCCCATAAACTGTGTTGTTCAATCAATTAGTTCAGCGTTTTCCAATATAGTGTGGTTTTCACTAGAAAGTCTGTCTTAGAACAGTTTTACTGTTATTTATGGGAATTTCCCAGATCCTAGGGTGAGGGGACAAAATAACAGGGAAAAGAAATTGTCCCCTAACTTCTTCAAAGAAGAAAAACTGTGCCTAAGGAAAGTACAAAGAACAAATTGTATACAGTATATAGAAATGTCTCAGTGATGGAAGACAGTAACTGGTGAAGAATGACCATGGAGTGGTAATCCGTCTTTTGGTTATAGATAACTGGTGGTACATTCTCATTCTCTAATCTGCCTGTAAATTAAAGACTAATTATGGATCTCAAGTTCAGAAGACACAAGGTATCACTACATTCCATCTGTTTTATAGAGATGATGAAATCCCTCATTTGTTTAATATTGTCATTATGTCATTTGAAGTGTCAATCCCCTTTTCTTGCACAGCTCACAACGGCCCACCAGGTGGCACTGTCCTCAATCAGCTATATCGGCTGTTCCATTTCCATCTTCTGTCTGGCCATCACCCTGGTGACCTTCGCCATCCTCTCGTAAGTAGGTGGGCAGTTGAGATGTTGCCAAGCATAGGATTTAGTGCCAGTCATCCTCCGTTGCCTTTTTGAATGTTTTCTCCCTCTGAACAGCCACTTTGGGAGGGGGGGGGGGCGCTGCATGGGGGCGCTCGATTTCAGAAGTTACTTTTTCATAAAAACAGCACAAATGGAGAATATGTGGATCTCTGGGAGGCACTGGGTGCTTCAGTGCTTCAAACCTAATGGGCCCTGGACCTCAGTCTGTACACCAGTATTAATGTTTTCCAAGCTTCATAGCCAGGGATGTTCTGAGGGACTGTGTTTACACATTTAGAAATGCATTTTGTATTTGCTAGCACTATATCTTTTGAATAAAATTTATATTTTGTCATACTGTGTTGTGTTTCAAATGACAATTTTATGGTTGCTGCGAAGGGATGTTTTATTTCCCTAGGTGCCTGTTTTATTAACTGCAGAACACTGACTCTTTGTTGTAAGTGTAATATTTCCTTTTCATGGTGATAGACGGAGAGGTGCCTGGGTTTGGTGTAACTGCTAATTTGTACATGCTGTTTTTGACATGGTCACAGCGAGAGTTTTTTCAAATTCTCAAAAAATGTGATATTTGAACATGAGTTGTATTTCTGATGTCAAAATTGGGGAGTGGACACGTCACAGAGTAACAAAATCTGGAAACAGTTTAGGAGTTAAGGAGTGGAGGCAAATAATGTTTTTTCTGAAGGGGGTGGGCTGTTTACATATATTTCAAGCACCTGTAGTTGTCTCTCTGTCGCCCCCTACAGATCGGTGAGCACCATTAGGAACCAGCGCTACCACATCCATGCCAACCTGTCCTTTGCCATCCTGGTGGCACAAATCCTGCTGCTTGTCAGCTTTCGCTTTGATGTGGGGACGGTAAGGATCAGCCTTCCACACCTCAACACCATGGGTCTGCCCCAGGATGACATTTTCTGTAGGGAGTGATCACCTATTGACCCAGCTGGGACACATTTAATGGTGTCAGAGCTCAAGAAGGCACAATACAGCCGCAGAAAACATGAAGACATAACTCTATATTTTTAAACATCTGCATTTTAAAATCCTGGTTTAATCATAGTTCTGAGGCAGGAGGCTACACTGAGCAGCAGGTTGTTTCCAGTTTCAAAACTTCTAAGACAGTAGTACACAAGAACAAGCCAGGTAAAGGGCAGAAACGACTTTCTAATGGCAGAGATGATCGCTAATTTATTGCACAGTTTCTCATGAATTGTAGGATAACAACAAGTGACCTTCAAACGTAATGGGAAACATTAAGTGCAGGTGTGAAGTGCACTGCTAGGACAGTTCTATCAAAGCTAGAAGCAGGACTGAAGTCCCATAAAGCAAGGAAGAAGCCCTTCATTAATGAGAGACAGAATCAGGTTGGAAATAAATAAATATATATAATTCACAGATGCATCATGCATACAAATAAATTGAGAAATGAGTGAATTAGAAAATTGTGTTGTGGCCTAGATATGGTCTTCGTGAGCTGTGCACACAAAAAAAAATACCTCTAAAAGTTGGACTTATATGAAGACTTAATTTGCAGTTTTCTGTACAGTTAGCTTATGTTGATTGTTTGTGCTCATGATTAATAGGGATGATGCTGCTGCTAATCTCGTGTTACATAGTTTCTAAAATGCTGAATTCTACAAACTTGTGACCGTGTGACTATCAGAGACGTGTGGCAGCCAGCAGGGTGTGAACTCTGAGAATGTCTTCCTAATGCTAAAACAAGCACTGAACTCACACAGTCATCACAACACGACCCTCGTGAGAAACACCTCGTGTCTGTTATAAGTAGCAGTAGGTTTTATAGGGACAGAATATTTTCACATTTTATCTAGTCAGTCTGAAAGAACAACCCTGTTTCAGTAGCCTGCAAGTCACAATTGTTGTGAATTTTCAGTGAACATAAAACCAGGATATTAACATAAAATATTTTATTCCTCCAGTGCAGTGAATACTGATTGCATTACTTGTTGCAGAACATCCCTCCATCCATTCCTCCATCCATCCATGTGCTAACCCCTTATCCTGGTCAGGGTCACCTGGGGTGGGGGGGGGGATGCCTGTCCCAGGCAGCATAGGGCATGTGGCCGGGGAGGGACATGAACCAAAAATGTGTGACTTATTGCTGTAGAGCTGCGCTCTCATTGTATATGAGTGTGATGTTCTGAGAGCCGTGGTGTGAAAGCCCCAACCGCGAGGTGAGTACCTCACAATTGCATTGCTGAACTGTTTTAAGGTACCCCAGGCAGTGACACACACACAGCTCTCACAAGCTAAGAGGGTCAGTGAAGAGCCGCCCAGAGACAGGGCCATTTCCAGGGCAGACTATCAGGCCGACTATCATAACGTCATTAGTCCATAAATTCTGGGCTCATATGGTGGTTCCTCACAGTCTAACTGCTTAGCCTGGGTTGCAATTTAGCAAAGAATTTTTCTCAATACTAATAATGATTCCTCTTGACATTCTGTAGGCTAATTGTGCTTGTTATGTGCTAATTAACAGAGAAATGAATTAAAGGTCATGGGGGGGGAGCTACTGCCCGTCATGGGAGGCTGAGTTTGGGAAGGCCTTTCGGAACAGAACCAGATAACCTTAGGAGTTTTGCAACTGGCCTTTGCCGGGGAACAGAAAGGTGGTTCAACCTATTTGTTATCCACAACAAAGAAAAGGCGCACGGGGCTGAAAAAAAGTTTGGAGGCTCCAGTCTTTGTGCCAAGACAACTATATGAAGAAAAACAAGGAGCAGGTAGTAGGAAATGACACAAATAGGAACTGGCACTTAGCTCCGCCTCCCATGATGGATGTCGACAGTCAGGATAGCTGTCGGCTAACGGGGTCTCCTCGTCCCTTCCTCTCGTCCCGCAGCTCCCCTGCAAAGTGCTGGCCATCCTGTTGCACTTCTTCTTCCTCAGCGCCTTTGCCTGGATGCTGGTGGAGGGGCTGCACCTCTACAGCATGGTCATCAAGGTATTCGGCTCAGAGGGCAGCAAGAACTACTACTACTATGGGATTGGCTGGGGTGAGTGTCCCCGCCCACTGCTGAGGATGACAGGGGCACACAGGGTTTGCTAAAATACTGTGGGATTCATTAGCACCCCCTCCCAAATTATGTGTCATTCTACACGTGAGGATTATTTCCCCTTTATATAGATACAAATTGGTGTAATACTAAAGCAAGTTTAATTTAGATTAGGCTTTCATTTGTGCAACTTTTTTACTCACTACATTAGCTGCTGTCCATCAGATCAATTGAGGTTTTTAATAAGGACAAAATGGGCCAAACTGGAAAGCTGGGAAGCCGGTAATTTGAGGAAAAGCTTCTTCTCAGTGGTTCTTATTACTGCTAGACAAAGCTGCTGTATCCTCTTGTTATCTTGAAGCCTATGTCCTGGGAGGGGGGAGAGTAGCTTAATCTGGAGTGTTCTCCAGAAGCTGAAGAGTATTTTGTGCTAATCTACTGAGAATTCATGAACATGTTACAAAGCAGTAGCAGTGGCTCACATTGATGCTGTATTTTCACCGGGGAAATGGGATGTTGTTGTCACTCCAGATGCTGTACTAAGATCAACCTGCAAACTCCTCCATCTTTCTCGTGTTCTAATATGATCATCTCAAAAGATAGGTAAAGCATGTGTGCTTGAGTAGAACAGCGTAGTGCAGACATCTCGGTCCACATCATCGATCCATCTATCCATCCATCCATCCATCTTCCTACCACTTCCAAATAGTACAATATCATGGTGAACTTGGAGCTTATCTGGACCTGGAGCACAGAGCCCAAGTTCATGACAGAGCCCACAGCTATGAACCAAATCAGCTGAAAAGTTCTTATCCAGTATATTTTTATTACTATGAAAAATATGAATCAAGTATTGAACTTTGTTGCCATTTCTTGAATAGTCCAGTGGAGGGATTCTTCTCCCTTAGGGCAAAAGTCGTTTTGCCAGATGTATGTAAATGAGTAAATTTAAAAACCTGCTCCAAGGTGTAAATTATTGGGCCGTTCCAGGGTCCTGGTAGTTCTGTGCAGATGAATCGCTCCCTGTCAGGATCATGGAAGGTCCCGCGGCTGAAACATACTTTCAACGCCATTAGTTTTCACACGGAACATGGGCTGCAAACTCTGCAAGGCCTTCGCTTGTTCTCTGCTGACAGAGTGGAGCAGGATGTCTTCCTTACGCTCTGGAGCAGTTCATACGTCATTATGAAAGAGCACCCAGAAAATCACCATGAGCCTGAAGTAGCCTATTAGCCTCATTGCCGTGTGATGGCTTAAATTGAACCTTTCTCTCATAGATAAGACACTATGCTCTTTTTGGTGGTCTGTTCAATTTCCTCAAGCAATGGTTACTTATCTTATAATATTTGTATATCATACTGTATAAGCAAATTGCATTTCAGGAAATTATGTTAAAACCTACATCAGTTTTTATATGTATTTATATGTATATGACGATTGTGCTGAGAAGCTAGTAATATTTGAGCATAATAGCACAAAATACCTAATACAGTACAAATTTGATTGGTTGTTTGGTTTGCAATGAATCAGCCAATGACAACTAAGCCATTCAGTTCAGATTGAGGCTTATGGACCCCTAATAGTAAGTCAGGGTTAGGGTTAGGTTTAGGGTTAGATTCTGTGTTCAGTGATTCAGTATGAGGTTATATTTGATAAAATGCTTAGGTTAGGGAGACATCTGGTCAAACCCTTCCGTGTGCTTGGATTTGTTCGTTGATTCAGGAGGACAGGTGTATCTGGCAAGTTATAAACAGCAGAGAAGACAAGTATTTTCCTGGTTGCCCTTATTGCAGTGCCTGTTAGACTGTAACTCTTAAATTCATGATACTCTTAAAGCCTTCACATTTGATTGCAATAAAAGCGGACAATGTTCCGGATTTTTGAAGTTTCTGCCATTCTGTTCTTTTTCAACCTAGTCCTGTCCGAGCGCAGTGTGATATAGTGTTTGAAAAGAAGGGCCTGGAAAGACAGAAATCATTTGTGGAGACTTCTGTAGCTTGTGTAAAATAATTAACCGGAGTTTCTTTATTAGAGGTCCAGCAAAAGCCATGTCTGTCCAAAAGTAAATGGCAAAGTCAGAAGCTGAATGAGTCTCGGCAGGTTGGCATGCGATTACAATGCTATTAGACTGTAGCCTTTGAGCAGATGAATTGTCCATGCTGATTCTGTTACCCTCCCTCTCTGACAGTGATATTCCTCTCCTCCCTGCAGGTTCTCCATTGGTGATTTGTGTGGTGTCTGTGACATCAGCTCTGGGCAGCTATGGAGAAGTAGGAAAGTAAGTAACCAGGACAAGAGAAGCTCCTGTGGATGACTAAAGGCGTATGACCGCCTTACTCATCTTCAGTCTTGTTTACGGTCCTTTAACATTCTCCACTGTTCAGAACCAACTGACAACGGTGCATGACAGGACACATGGGATGCTGAACCCTTTCGTTTGTTTCCAAAACAAATGCAAAAAATAAATCTCAGTCAACAGTCTGACATTGCTGCCAGTAAAATATGTCGGAAACTGAAATACATTCTTATAAATACATCACTTGGTTCAGTCAATTATAGAATGTCCCCCAAAACTGCTTCAGAACAGAAGCTGGCATTCTGAGTGACTTCTGAGGTCCAGCTGACAGATGCCAGCTGTGTCTGGTGTTTAAGGAAGAGCTGGTGCGAATATCCAGGAGCTGTCACTCATGCTTGTGAAAACCTAACTTGGCAGTTTGAGAAATTCTACATGGTCTTGTTTAATAACTGTTGTACAAACCGATGGTAACACACCGAAAGCAGCAAAAATTTATCACTAGGGAAATTATCTATTCAGGAAGTACATTCTATTGAATGTGCATGCAAGAGAAGATGACAGAAACAAACACATCGCAGATAGAGTTCTTTGCTCCTATGTATGTACATGCAGTTATAAAAAAAAATATTTCACTCGAATATATCCAGTTATACTGTAGGATTTTGCAGTTATTTAGCAGATGTCTTTGTTCAAAGTGATGTACAAGTGAGGGTAATTGTATGGGTGATGTCACAATGCCAAATACGGCATTTGAATCAGTGATCTTACAATCACAGGCGCAGAATCCTTTGCCACTCCCACTGGCACCAGGTGTTGGCAAAAGGCAAATAAAAAAGATATCTTTAAATGCACAATTAACACTTTAAAGGCATTTCAGGATCTTTACATGTTTAATTTCTCATCATTTAATAGTATTATTAGGCTCTTTCTTTGGTGAAAGATGTTGTGTAGCTCTTGCTCCTATGCAGTTCTATCTGGGCGTTCGTTGGAAACTCAGCCCAGCTGCACTTATACCTTTTTGACTCCTTGGCAGCCGTATGTTTGTATTGTGCTATTTGCCTTTGCTTGTATGCTTTGGATAAACGCGCCTGCAAATAAAATAAATGTAAATGTTAAAACTGGGCTTTGTGAAAATATCACCTGGTGGTCTTTGTGTTGTCAGTCAGATGAGCTCGTTAGGTTGCATCTCCAGGACCGTAATTAGTAGGATTGTATCTTTTTTTTGTTTTGTTGTGCTTGTGCAATGACTGTTATGTTGCAGTCATTAAAACAAGAAAAACAAAGTGGTATGAACAGAAAACCTGGGGAGATGTCGATTTGTAATTTAGTCTCCCTTGTTCCACAAAGTGCAAATTTTGTTCCTGACCATGTTGAGACTGGCATGAGTGTAATGAAACCTTCCTTTGAGTAATGGGGTACTAACTTTAAAATATGGGCATTGCTAATTATAGCTTTGTCAAAGGGAGTATGGGTCAAAATATATATATGAGGAATACCTGCCACGAGTTTGAGGACCCTTCAGGGAGAAGTATCTAGACTCAGACCAGGTGCTGATTGGTACTTTCAACTTGTCACAAGAAGCATTCTCCTCATGATCACGTCGAGCAGATATGTCACAACAAAGGGTGCTCTCATCCCGCTCTTTCCCAGAAACTTGAGCTTAGAAACACTTTGGGCAGGTTCTGTAGTTCGAAAAGTCGCAACTGTTTCCTGTGGGTAATAGTGTATCATGAATTACAACTAGAACCATAGAAGTAAAAAAAAAAAAAAAGTAAAAAGGATTTTGATCACAGCGTCGATGTCCCTGTGGGTTATGCCTCAGCTTTAACTGAAGTTTGTGAGAATCCTTAAGCACGGCTTCATTCTAACGGTGAAGAGCAGCGTAAATATTGTTGTTTTGGGAGGCCCGTGTACTGTCCTGTCCATCGTGTCTTGTCTATTGTATACTGCAATTTAAAATAGCTGTTTACCTCTAGGATTCTTCTCCCCATAGCTGCTGGTTGTCACTGGAGAAAGGAGCGATCTGGGCCTTTGTGGCACCGGCACTGTTCGTCATAGCGGTAAGAGGCTAGGCCATTATCTGAGCCTGATTCGACCTTAGGGAATCTCACTGAACTTCCACTGAGATCATTATTTCCTTTATTTGTGTATGTCTTTCCATTTCATTGTATAATGTTCCCTGCTCCTTGTCCAGTGTTGTTTTCGTTCTCTAAGACCAGCACACGCCAGTCCGTCTCACGGGGCTCTTTTCATCTGCATTTAGTCTATGGCCATTGCAGCTCACTCAATACCCTCTCAACATTAATGCCTTGTGCCAATGCCCCTTTTTCCGCTTGTTCAGTAGATCCTGCCTGGAGGACATGTGGTCAAGCCTTTTATTTTCTTTTTATCAGTAAATGCTGGGTGAAGCCTAAACATAATTGCTGGCCTAAGTAGGCATCTCTTACCGATGTTATCAAATGCAGCGGGGGGGGGGGGGGGACAGGATTTTATGGTTTGAGTAGCAACACTATAAGTTTAATACTATTTAAAAGATCAACGTACAGGTAAAATGCCTGCTTTACTTTCATCGCCGTACCTTTTAATAAGACCATAATCCATCTGGCAGGACAGCTGAGTGGTGCTTCTGTACGTTTGATGAAGGGACAAGCTACCAATCTCCATATCAGTGACCTGAACCATAAACTCCTGACTCCAATCTCTGCTGCCTGACCTAAGCAGCCTCAAATCATTCTCTCTGCTCATGTCGCTTTACACAATACCGTCCTCACCTTCAGAGGCGATCTGGAATACCGATTAAAACAATTAATCGACAGACATAACCTAACTGGCTGCTGAATCTTGACCTCTGGTAAAATTCTTTTGTAAGACGTTTTAAGAGGTTTCCCAAGCAGGGTTAAATTTGTAGAACTAGTTGTCATAGTGAAGATAGTTTGCTAGTTACATAACACATCAGAGCTGTTAATTAAAAATGCACCAAATCTAGCAATTCAGGCTTTGATGTCAGATGCAACATATCTAATACCTTTTTTACAGAAAGCATATGGGTAAAAGTTACCATAAACATCTCAGCAATCTATTTTAAGCAATTTTACAACTTATTTTATTCATTCATTTAGGACTTTATCTAAGCAACTAATACAGATAAATAATTTGTTCACTCCTGGGAGTGTAACACAAAAATGTTCTGAGGGCAGAACAAAAAATGATTGGTTCAGAGAGATAACCAGTTACATTGTAGAATTGATTTCAAAAGGGACTGTCAAAACAAGAGCCGATTCCACCAAAATCCATGGTCATAGTGCAAGTCCACTGGTTTCATGTTCTTCCTCTAGAGCAGGGGTGCCCAACTCCAGTCTAGAAAAGGTGTGGACCAACCAATCAGATGTCTTGGTCCTGCCTCCTGTAGTTGCTTGGACACACCACCTCTACAATCTAATTGGTTATCTCTCTGAACCAATCATTTTTTGCTCTGCCGTCAGAACATTTTTGTGTGACACTCCCGCGAGCATTTCGTTCTGTAACACTTCATTCAGTGTGAGGTCATGTCATAGTAATGGGGGTTTTGTGCTTGCATCAGGTGAACATCGGCATCCTTATTGCTGTTACGAGGATCATCTCCCGGATCAGTGCAGAGAACTACAAGGTGCATGGAGACCCCAATGCTGTCAAGTGAGTTCATTTCCATAATCCTTCCGTTGTCTTCTGCTCCCCCTATTGGCAGCCAGTCAGGTTCTTGCAATCCTTCATCAAGAGTAAAATCTCTCACATTATGTTGGCTTCCCGTGTAAATGGAACATAACTCCAGCGTGACCCTTTACCATAGAGTTTATGGAGTATCTACTGTAAAATAGTGTGTGTCTATGTGTGGTTTTCGCTAAGTAGTTTAACACTTGTTGGACAGTCAAAAATTGAGACAGTGTATTGAGCATTACAATTACTGAAATGACTAGTGATTTAAGAACTTGTTGACTAGCATCTATTCATAAGATGAATGCATCCTCGAATTCTTTCAGGGAATTTGTACTGGCCTTTTTGATTGATCCGCTGTTGTGTGTGAGAGATTTTAAGCTCATACATTTTTAATATATGTTGAATGATTTTTCATTTAATTCTGAGGAAACTACAGAGGTGTGATAGCAATGACATGGGTGGCCCAACCTGGTATATTGCTGATAAAATGTCCAATGGTTGACATAGTGATTATCGGGACATGGAGCTAGGCTAAAATCACCAGCATCAAACATCATGATAGACAGCAAGAGGGAACTATTTCTTTTTAAATTTTAGTAGTCAAGTGACTTGTGACTTAAGACTAGAATTTTCACCAGGTATTTGATCTGCATGTAGGCCACTGTGAGAAGTCCCAAGACCACCAACATGTTTCATTTTAGCAATAATTACACATTTGTGCAGGCTGTCAAAATTTGGGTTTTCCTACCTGTACAGCCCAAATCAATAATACATCTAATGATGCAATGCCTTAGGAATTCATACATTCATGAAGAAAATGTGATGCATATGTAGTCAGAAAAATAGATGGCATGTGTAGGAGTGATGTTTGCACCTAAATCCATGAACAAATCTATCGGCATCGAAAGAGTAAGATGCTCAAGTGTTCGTTATGGAACAAGGAGCTGCAAAATGTTTTTGAAAACAGTCCTCATCTCTGATGAAGGTCTGGGCGCTCTTTTCTGTTAGAGGTGAATTCAGGAGATCTCTTCATCCACACACATTTACAGGTCTGAATCAATATGCTGAGGTCTTTATTGGCGATGAAAACTAATTAGTGCTGAAATCCACCATAGAGTTCCTTCTCAGACAGACCCTTACATGGGCTTGTTAAGGCAAAACAAAATCATGCCAAGTGGCTTCCAGTCACTCTTTGGGCCTGCTGGTATGTTGACAGGGGTCTTCTTAGTTTATTCAAAATGCAGAGCCACAGTATGTCTGCAACAAAAAAGAAACGTTCCGAGTTTAAACAAGGTGATGTGAAAGCATCCTGTATATATTATGAATACCATAGATTGAACCTCTAGAGCAGGGGTGCCCAACTCCAGTCCTGGAGGGCCGGAGTCCTGCACATTTTTGGGTTTCCCCTCATTTAACACACCTGATTCAACTCCTTGTGCTAATTACCACACAGCTCTTGAGCTGAATCATTTATGGAACAGAGAAAGAACTAAGCTACACAGGGTTCCGGCCCTCCAGGACTGGAGTTGGGCACCCCTGCTCTAGAGGAAGAACATGAAACCAGTGGACTTGCACTATGACCATGGATTTTGGTGGAATCGGCTCTTGTTTTGACAGTCCCTTTTGAAATCAAGCCTGAATGTACAAAGCACGTATATGTAGCATTCATATTTTTTCCCTGTGCCTGCTGAAATTGCATCATAATTTCATTATTCCAGAGCAAGATTTGTAGCTCGTGTAGTTTAATGCCAAAATCTGGCCGGCGTTCCAGAGGGCAGAATGTACAATATTGACCAGCAGTAGAAATTGGATGTGACTCAGATTTTTTTTTTCCATATTTTGCAGAACAGCAGCAGAACTGGATGTTTTTTTTATAAAATGACATGAAATCATCTGTGTGGGGTGTGTGGGGTTTCACAGATGGGGATGTTTATGCCAGGGGGACTTTGTCGCAGAATGATCCCATATTTCCTAACACATATCAACACCTGCTCCCAGCGATGATGTCGTGTCAGTCATTGGCGCAAGAAAAGGCATGCTGCACGCCACTGCTAGCTTTCCCCGTCTACACTCTAATTTACAAGCAAAGGCTGTCACACAACTGTGGCATTGTGAGGTTATAGTCTTGAAAAACTGGCCTTGATTTGCTTTGAAACAAGTTGTTAGCTTGTCTGTCTAGTCTGTGGGCTGATCAGTGTTTTATTCTTACTGGGAACACAGTGGTCTAGCATGTACAGTCCTTTAATCTCAGTTTTAAATAGCTTGTAACGATTGCTGGTCTTTGAAAGTATTTGAAAGTGTTGAAACTGATGCATTAGTGGTAATGGAAGCTGCTGTATTACTAATCTCTTTCTTTTTAAAGCAGGACTCCATTCCATAATACGAGTGCAGTTTGCCCAAATGTGCACATTGATTTTCTTTTTTCCAAAACATGTCCCATTGTTACGGAATTCCGAAGGGGACAGTGTGGGGAGTGGGGGGGGGGGGGTGATTTTAGCAGTGACTTTGCTCAAAGTCACTTGTGGTGAATGGACACAGTGCAATTATTAATAAATAAATATGTATGAAATACCTAATATGGAAGTTACATGGGTATGCGTTGTTCCTGCAAAGTTTAATAACACTTTACATGACATGTCTGTATCACTTACGTAATATACTATACTATTCCATAAATAAGTTCCATCTTTTGTACTTTTTATGGACACAGTGCAGTTATTAATGGTAATGGATAAGTATTGCGAGAAAAATGCATGTCTTTTTTTTTTTCCCCAACCAACCATTTTTTTTCCCCAACTACCGATTTTTTCCCCCCAACATGTCCCTTCTGGGGTCTGTACATTGTTCATTTGACAGTAAATATGCATCATGCATTGAATTATGAATTACATATTTTGAATCAGTGGCTCTCTGTGTTTAAAGACTTCTTCTGCCCTTGTTTGACTTCTAAAATAAAGAATGGAATCATGTTGGTTGATGGCTGATTTTTTTATTTTGGGGAATTTCTCAAATACAAAAAAATCGATTTTTTTTTTTTTTTAATGGGAAAACTCCCATATAAACATTGAATTATCAAGGATTTTTAAAATGGAAAGTGTATTGTAAAATGTTAGCGTTGCGTTATTTACATCCTGTCATCGATGTAAGTGGTATGTGAAAAGGGAGCAGATGGTTTTGACAGGGGTTTCGTACTGTTTCTGGCTGCACCTGTCTATCTGTGAAATCCCTCGACAAAGCTTTGCTCCATTCTAAAAACCCTATGTCACATACTTTGGTTCACTTCCGTTCTCCAAACTTTCCCAGTTTGCATTTATTTTTGCTTTTGCAATTTTACTATCCTAAATGATATCGAATGCATGCATCTAATCTTTTTCCTTTGTATTCTTTGCCTGTATGCATAACAAGATTTGATTGCGATAATAATACTAAATTATAGTGTGGTTTGTATGTTCTGGTCTATATGGACATGGGCACCAAAATAGAATAATTTGAAAAAAGGGAAAGAATCGCTTTCGCTGATGAGGTTTATGGCATCCTTCTCATTTACCAGTCATTTTTTTGGGGGTAATTGATTAGCTTTTCTTGAACGTGCTATTCACCTATTCAGCCTGCTGTTGTTTTTTTGCAATAGCTGCACACTAGATTCACATTGAGCTTTTTTGCCGGTCATTACTTATTTGATTTTTGCCTGCACTTTGATAGCCATATTGAATAAAACATCCAATTAATTGGTATGTTTACTGCGGACAAGGCCGCTGTTCAGAGAATGCGACATTATTGCTTTGTGAAGCCAAGGTCAGAGGATGTGATCGAGGCAATTCTTTCTAGTTCATATGGCTGGGGTTTAACTCAGCTCTTTCCTAAAGTAGACAATAGTTTACACAATCAGGCTTTTGGCTCATGACCACTATGATCCGTGCAGAGCAGTGGTTTATCTGCTATGATCTTTCTGAAATTTGCCAGTCGCTGTTGTTTTTTTGTTTTTTTTTGCTGACTCATGCTATAGATTTTATCATGTGTTGTTATAGGCTTTCTGCTGGTCTTCAAGTCTGGAGCTTTCATGTCCATGATCATTGTCTTCACTGTCCTTGGGTCAAGTTTCCAGGATCTCAGTACCGGCTCTTCTGATTGAACTTTACAGGCTTTGTCTCATATTACCTTCTTCACAGTGATGCCTTATGATGGAGAATGGTTCTTATTCATTAGTCTATAAGGGTTTATACTCTTATAGTTGTATTGGCTGTGGGTCATGTATTCATTAAGGACCTGAACTTTGACCTAGGAAGTAGGTTTGAGACTGATGAGTAGCTTTCCTGTTGTGCAGATGAGGAAGGCTCGTAAAATGAGTGAAATATTCCTGCAGAATAAAATGACTGTGGAATTTGCTTGTCACATTGCATAAAAGGAAGCACTAAATTAGGGTGTCCAGATAATCCATGTCAGGGAGGACACTTTGAGCTACTTCCGGTTTTACAAACTACTTTCAAATTGAAAGGCTCCTGTGCTCGGCTAAATAGTTCAGCTCTTCTTGTGCTTTGACTGGTTTGTTTCCTTGACTGAAAGACTCATCCAGCTGTTTTACATTAGCATTAGTGACACATGCATGATTATAGGAGAATGACCAATCAGCACACAGCAACAGCTCAGTGCTCAAGTGAAATCCAGGTCCTTTTAATTGAAATGGTAATTTACAATTCCTGTCCTAGCTCAGAGTGTCCTCGCTGACATGGATTATCTGGTCACCCTACACTAAATCCCATGATGCATTGCATACAAGGAGGCCCAAGCTTTTAGCAGCAGGCATTGTTCTCAATAAACTCCAGTTCCTTTGATGGTATCAGATAGGAATGTAACGATACCAAAAACTCACGGGACAATAATATCGCGATAAAAGGTTCACGATACGATAATTATCACAAAATTTTAAAAGACAAAAAATAATTAATAATCAACATTTTTATTAATATCAAATTAGTTCTTCCTTTTAACATAAAGTGCTTCTGCTTTTCCTTATTAGTGAAATATCCAGCTATGACCTTAATATAATGTAAATGTGGTTTTGTTTCTATTTGACCAATTTATAAATTATTGTTGAAATACTTGTTTTGTAATGGATTTACTGACCTATTGTCATGTGGGTTACACACGGCCATTAGAGCACAAAGCATTCATTAGTGTAATATGTATTTTTTCAGATAGAGCTTATATGAGTGAAATAACCATGTGATACCGTGGTTGACATCGTAAAAGTCCGACAATGGTATTTTTTTATTGCGATATAGCGATATTACGTTTATCATCCCTAGTATCAGATATTCATTATTTTATATGATATGTAAGGACTGTTTACCTATGGTCCACAAAAGACAGCATATGTCCAAGGAAGTTCCATTTTGATTTATATTTCCCTCAAAGGGATATTCATGTCTGATTTCACTTACTGAATAAGGGTCCTCTTCAACATACTTCGTTGGTTGTTTGGTTGCAAGGAAATTAACTAGAGATTGGACAGTCTGTTAAAGATTGTCTTTTGTCCACAGTGTTAACCTTGAAAGAAGTAAAGTGTTTTGCAGAGCACGCTTCCCTCTCTGCAAAGTGACTCAGTATTTAAATTCTTGCTTTGGCATGGATGAGTAAGCATTCACAATTAATCAAATGAAGCAGGTAGAAAAAAGCTTCTTGAAGGAAATATGCAAAACATTTTTTGGAAAGCCAAAATATATATTGAATCAAATATAATTTAAGGGCATTTTAAAGAGAGTGTTGAAGTTTTTTTTCTCTTCCTGGCAACCCCATGGAATCTGTGGGAAAAAGTCCAATATGCCTGCTTTCATTCTTCCAAGATGCAACTGGGTTTAGGCGATAATTTTGGTTTAGTTTATGCTCTTTACCATACGGTATTGCTGTAATAAGAGTGTTTTTTTTGCATTGGTGTAAACAAGGGTGTTTTATGCATATTAGGTTAAAACAAAAAGGAAGCGTGACAGGTTACTGGAGACCCGGATAATGTTTAGTGTACCGCATCAGGTGTGGCAGATAACAGGAATGGGAGTCGGCCACACCTGGCGGCTTTCAATGCCACGATTCCAGCATGTGAGTCCGATGCATCTGGGGTGGATGCAGTTGCAATGGCTGTTTGGGGCACATTATGGCTACGTTCACACTGCTGTGCTGAAGTGACTCAAATCGGATTTTTTGCCTTAATGTGACACAGATCTGATCTTTTCAGGGCTGTGTGGACACGCAAATCTGATCTTTTCAAATCAGATTTGTGTCACTTTCATATGTGGTACTAAATCCGATACGTATCCGATTCGCGGCCATGCGACCTGAATGTGACGCTCAGATCGGAATTCATGTGGCTCTTTGCTTATACGCATGCGCTGACATCAGCCTGCACCGGCAGCGCGGGAAGGTAAAAATGGAGGAGAGCTGCGATAACAGTGAGTGGAAGGATGGAGGAGTTGGGGATTTAATTGATATTTGGGGAAATTAATCTGTTCAAGCTAAACTGGAAGGAACCTATTGTAATAGAGTAGTATTTGAAATAATTGCCAAAGAAATGGCACAGCGTGGACACGAACGTGGGTACAATGCCAACGAAAAATAAAGAGCCTGAAGTCAAAGTTTAAGGAGGCAAAAGACTCGAATCAGCGCAGCGGTCATGGCCGCACAACGTGCCAATTTTACGACCAGCTTTTTACCCGTGTAAAAATGTATAAATGTGCGCACGCGTGACGTTTCGGAGGACCGATGCGTTCCAATTACAGTCAGATACAGGTCACTTGTACTTATGAATGTGAACCGTCAAGATGGACAAATCCGATCTGAGCAAAAAATCGGAATTGAATGATGTGGCTGGCAGTGTGAATGCAGCGTATGCTAAAGTCATCACCGACAGTAACTGCTCGGGTGCTTTGACTTCTGACTGGCAAACAATGTAGCTAAGTTTACTTACCATTACCGATATGCCATTTATTTATTTAGTAGGCACTTATTTTTACAAAGTGAGGAAAGTAGCACATTACAAGCATACAGCTGTCAAGGAGTCAATTAAGCCTAAATGCAGCTTCCAACAAGCACTAACAGATTAAGAGCTATACAGTGCATTTCAGCGTAGTTTTATTCTATTCAGGATGTTTGCTATCCGATTCCCTGTGCTTTTTGGAATTGTGTTCAGGCTTCCTCTGATTCTGTGCTGGATATAGTGGCGGTGGAAGTAGGTTAGTGAGGTTTATGTGTTATTCTGTATGTTATTACTAAATATGAGTTTTCTGGATCTCTAACTCGATTACCGTCATTGAAGGCGGTCCAGAATCATTTTTAGCTCTTCGTAGTAGAAAACAGCTTTATTCTCTTTTTTGATTCTTTCTGAAAAATTTACCGCAATCATTTGATATTTTGATATTTTCATAATTTTTCTGAATTTTCTAAGACATGTAGAAGGTGCCTAAAAACACAAAAATTAACTTCTGTGTGACTCAGGCAAACACATAGCTCTTGTCTCAATGTTTAATACATTACTTTGGGATGTTTTGCTACCTGAGCTGTTCAGTTCAATTCAGTTTATTTTTATATAGCGCCTCTCACAACAGAGTTGCCCCAAGCTAGTGTGTGACAGTGCATTACTGCATTATTTATACTGTACAAAATGGTGCATGAAACAGGGAAATGGGAAGATTGAAAGAAAGCCAGTAGACAATGGAGGACAGGAAGCAAAAAGTCCCAAGTAGGGAGAAGAAAAAACTTCTGGGGTTCAAAGTCAACTGGCTGCCCAACCCCATTGGGCATATATAAGTTCTTCTTCACAAGCTGAGTTATCTTTTTGGACCTCACTAAGGGTATGTGTGTGTGTGTGTGGATAGGTTTATATCACATTGTGGGGGACCAATTGTCTCCCACAACATAATAAAATTTTGGTATTTTGATGTTGTGGGGACCATGTTTCAGGTTCCCACAAATATCTGTGAATGCAATCAAAAAAGCAAAAGTGCTAAAAGTGTGGTATTTTGTGTGGTTACTTATGGTTAAGGTTAGGGCTGGGTAGGGGTTAAGGTCGTCATGTTGGGATTAGAGTTTTCCCCATAGAAATGAATGGAGAGTCCCGACAAAGAAATAATTACAAACCTGTGTGCGTGTGTGTGTCTCTGTGTGTGTGTGTGTGTGTGTGTATGTGTGTGCCTGCGCTTTCTGAACTTTCAGGCTGACCGCCAAGGCTGTGGCTGTCCTCCTTCCTATCCTGGGCATCTCCTGGATCTTTGGGGTCCTGGCTATCAATGACCACTCCCTGATTTTCCAGTATCTATTTGCTGTCTTTAATTCACTCCAGGTTAGTGAACTGCCTGCTTGGTATTGAGTTTCAGTTTAAACCTGGAAACAGGATCACTGTTTTAGATACCATGGATTTTGTTTATTAACTGCTTTGAAAGTAAAGGTAAAATATCGCAAAGCAATTTTAGTTCTTCATAAAGTCTGACCTACAATAGTATTAACCATTTTAAATTGCAGTTTTTCCCCCTTCTTCCTGTCAAAACACAATTATGTTTATATGGGTTTATGTTGATACGGGTACATATATGCAAACATAATCATTCATAGCCCTGTCAGCTTTCAGGGTTTCTGCCTTGTTAAGGGAGCATATGCCAAAATGTTATTAGTTATGTTTACTAATTTGCAGTGGAAGCTACAGCAGCATTGAATTTCATTAGTTGTGTGTGATTATAATCCATTTTAATAAATGTATTATAATCCAGTTTTGCACCATAATAGGAAATGATTCGTTTGAGTATAATCTTGCATGAGTTTGTGTTTCAAAGTAAATTGCATCATAATATCTTGGGCAAACAGCTAATACAACATACTGAGGATATTACTGTACACTGATTTTAACGCAGTTCACTGTAGTATATATTGACTTACAGTCTCATTAATCATATAAGCCTAAGGACTCTATGGTATCTATGGGAGTGCTAGATAAATCTCAATGCCCCAGTGTCTCCAAAACTTGCAAGCCTAAGTTCCCAATGCACATTCTCACAAACAGCTCTCACACCACCAAACATCACCCACTCAATGACAATTCATGTGTCCCCTCAGTCATCAATTAGGTCTGTCCGACTGATAACACTACGGGTGAAAATGGGAAGAATCTGTGTTTTTATTAACCACAATCTATTATCTGTACGTCTTTTGTCTCTAGCTGTAGTTTAAAACTGAAATAAGCGCTTGCGAAATGTAAGGGAATAAATGCCTCATGAATCGTAATTACAGGAAGGCGAACGTGAATGTGTTTCTGTGTTTCTTGGTACAGGGATTCTTTATTTTCCTGTTTCATTGTCTTCTCAATTCTGAGGTAATGTTCAAGCCTTGTTTTTTGTTTCTACATTTTCTGAACATCGTAGATTGATGTTAAGTGCTCGATAAAAGGCTCAGTCATTTCTCGTATACAGTATTTGTATGATTTAGATAAAAACAGAAGCAGAAAATGGCAACAATTTTACATTCATACATTTCTATTCTGTAAATTACTGAGCTGTGGTTTAGAGCGCAGCAGCCTGAGGGAGAAGAGGTCTTGCCTTTGAATTTCTTAAAGATGGCACACATTTATTTTCTATGTTACAGATATTTCTATATCTAGAACCTCAGGCAGTTTTATGTATCTGAATTGTACAGTGAAATCCAGTTGATAGACAGGTGCTGATTTTCTATTAAGATTCTGGTATGACTTTATCCTGGCAGGTACGGGCTGCCTTCAAACACAAAACCAAGGTCTGGTCACTCACCAGCAGCTCCATCCGCAACATCAACGTGAAACCCTTCAATTCGGACATTGTGAGTATTCCTGAGGAATCCATATGCTCTCGTAACAGCCACAAGCCATAAGCTATGTTGTAATGTGTATGTCCCAGCCTGGCAATTCATGAACTGACACTGTAAAAATGAACAAACTGCATAACCTGAAATCCTGTCCGTAAATATCAAGCTCGGAACTGGTGCCTCATTGGAAATTTAGCCAAATCTGCCTCCTTGCACCAAATCTAGCTCCTTGACAGCTGTTTGCTTGTTTATTTATGTGTCTGCCTCATAAATAAATGATCAAAAGCGTCTCCCAAATAAATGTAAACGTAAATTATAAAAACATGCAGCTCCATGTACCTGTGATAGCTGAATAATTTAACATTTACTGCTATTTTATTGTTTAGTCAGTGCTTTCATGCCACAGTGATTTAGGCCATTTATTTAGTGTGATGTTTGACTGAAACAGTTCAGGCTAAACCACTTTGTCAAGGTAACAGATCCTATTAGAAATATAACAAGTTTGTATCCTTAATCATCATGTTATCTGCTTCCTGTATCAATGGACACGGTCAACGTGTGATGCATGGCACAATTAACAATGTTAAACCTGATTTTCCCAAAAGACCCTATTAAATTGAAAAACCATATAATCAAAATTTATAATTTTAAAACTAATAATTATTCATTGAACTTGTATCTTATTAGTAACTAGGCCCAACAACTTTCATGAACATACAGCAGCATCAGTCTTTGTGTGGATTTGACCTGCTTTTTATAGACTTTCCAATGTCAGCATTCTTGGTTTCAAATGTTGCACCGGCATGTGTTCCAGTGCTGATTTTGATATGCTAAGCTTTGCTCGTGTAATCCTGTGTCCCATCCTCTACTCCAGGATCTTCCGCTCAAGTTAGCTCGCTCTCTCTCCTTCTCTGTTTCCGTACCGCAATGTTGCTCCCCTTCTGAGAAAAATAGCTCCGCAGTCCTGTTTTCTGCCCTTGAGTTGCCTCTCTGCAGAGTGCCTGAAAGCGTATGATTATGATTCTGTCGCACGGGCTGCAGTAGTCTTGGGACTGCAGCCCTTAAGGTCTGCTGGGATATCAGGTACCCAACCTGACATTCAGAACCAGCTCTTATCTGGTAATAAGCCTTATGGTAAAAGTTTGGAAGACACAAGCACATATACGATAAGCATTGCAATTATATAAGTATATTTATCCTCCGTAATTTTAACTTTGACCGCTCAGAAGCCGTTTATCACCTTGGCTGTCCGACAGGGGGTGCTGATAACTTGCTTTTACATTGATGATCACACCTTGTGCAGGGTCATTTCTGTATTTACTAAAACCTGAATATTTTTTAGGAAATAAATCAAAAACAGGCTTTGCAGTTTTTCGTATTTATATTTACTGTAGAGTTTATGTCATCTGCAAATCGCAATCGGTTTGTTGTGGACATGAGGGTGGGGGCATGCTGTCAATTCAATGTCTGCCCCAGGTGCACTATGCATGTGCAACCCTATTTGTGATTTTTCACATTTTCCTCTCAACCGCAAACTGGTTGACTTTCAAGATTGTCACCATGGAAACACAGAAGAGTCACCTCAGTAGGTGTATCTCTGTCCACACCTTCTCCCGTCTATGAGCCATGTTGAAAGTCAATGAAAGTCAAGAAATTGTGCAACTGTCTCGCAATCCCAGAACCCCCCCAAAACAAACTTACTTACACCTAAAATTATGCATTGCTTGTTTGCTTCTCCTTTTTACCCACTTTCACTGGTGCCCACTGTCCGCATTCTCTGATCACTAGTTCTTCTGTTTATTTACCCATAATACAGTGCTTCTCAACCAAGGCCACAGTGGGTACAGATTTTCTAGCCCCTTAAGCAACTAAGAGTCTCTGTGCTAAATGAACTCAGTCGCTGCATTAAATACTTGAGTTTGGTGCTTGGGTACATTGACGATCTCGCACGCACTATTGGCTTCCAGGACCAGGGCCAAGGATGGTAGCCATAATAAGATTTCAGATTAATTAAAATCCATTCTTGTTTTGAATCAGTAACAGTATTTGCTGGCACAGTTGCGGAGGGTAACTTGTGCTTGTTCATTCATGGTCTGTGTCTCTTCGTTATTTTTTGCAGATGAACGGGAACAAAGGAGGTGTGTCCCCAACCAAGATGCACACCTGGGACAAGAGCACCAACTCCGCCAACCGTATCGACCTTTCGGCAGTGTAGCGCCCACCAAGCCTAGAGGATGACGACAGCGGTCCAGTCATGTAAAATAGACAATATATTTTATTTTTGACACAGTTAAACTGGCACACATCACCAACAGGAATTCCACACTGGGACCAAAGCCAAGGCCAGATTTGCTCCATTCCTACAGCCTTCCCGGAATGTTCCCAGGAACATCTTTACTGAGGAGTCATTCTTTTAGTTGCCTTTGAACATCCAGCTGCAACCTGTTCACCCAGCCCCCTTGCGTTTCTCGCACTTTGATAAACACCAAAGCCTTTCCTGCTTCTCCCCTCTCTGCCAAAATCAACAGAGCTCCTATGGGCTCTCTCAGACCTGCGCACCAACCCAGCCCTCCAAAGGAAATTCACCAACCTTCCGTAAGAAAGGCAGTGCATTCAGAGTACATAATCCATGCAGCGAGACGTGGAGCGAGAATGAGCAGCAACACTAAGCAGTGAGACACGAAACAGCATCGAAACAATTTGCCAGTTTTATTTAATATTGCATTTAATACAGCTACCGCGAAGAGAGGTTCACCACAAACTAGGTACTACTGTCATTGGTGGATAATAATTAATAAAGTAATAAGTTTGCTATAAGTTAGTGAGATGAAACTGCTAGAGGATAGTCTTTGGATAGCCTGTGGTGAGGAACTGGACAGGCTTTGCAGTATTTCTGGTTATTGGCAGCCTGTTTCGCCACTTGAGGCTGGGGGTAAAGTCATTGTGGGGGTGTAATATGGAATTCATGTTGACCCCAGAATGAGAAGCTACTGTAGAAAGATGACAGGAGAGTGACAGAGAGAATAAACAGAACGGCCACATTATCCTTATCCATCTGTTTATAATTATAATTATCATGCGTGATTTATATTTGCAGTCATTAATTTAGAAGATGCCTTTGTCCAAAGGCATTGATTTTATTTTACAGATTAACATATACAAACAGACCCACACAAGCAGGGGTTAGGCAAAGCACAGTGATGTTTCATGCCTTCATATATAGCAGAGCAGTGGTAACGACTGATAAGAACAGTATACTTGTTCCCCATAGAGTCCCACTGTGCTGGGTTATCCGGTATTACTTTATCATTTGTTCTAGGGATCCTCAATTCTGTTTCATCACAGCTCATTTTGTAAGATTCAAATGAAACCAATGGCCGGCGAGTTGGTTTTGTGAGCGTTTGGTAGATGGGAAGTTATGAAGATTGTGTGGAGTGTTTGTGAAGAATTGGTTTCCCATTCCTAGTAAAATCCTTTTGCTAAGACCACTGTATCACTTACATTGTTTGCAATATTTGCATGAAAGTATACTGCCTATTCAGTGTCATTCTACCCAGGTTCTAAAAGCTTCTGAACATTCACAAGGGCTACTGAGGTCAGAAACGATGAGGTTATAATATTGCACCTCATCATAAATGAATGCAAAAATCCTTGCTGTTTTTAGTATAAGTCATCCTTTGCCATTGGCACTGTGAGTAAGACACCATTGGACCTTTTGACCAATGATGAAAGAACAACAGTTTGTGTTTCTCATATATAGTCCAGTAATAATTCACATTTGTATTTTAAATCATCTTACATGACATCAGCTTATCTCTCTGATGAGGTACTGTATTGTCACAGATTAATAACTAACTTTTGTGAGATAGTGACGATCTTGATAGAGTTTTGGGGAAAAATCATTAACATTTGTTGTTACTTTGAAGGAAATTACCTTTGGTGATTTTATTTAAATTAAAAAAATGACAATAATGCTTGGCCACCTCATATCCGTGCTGTACTTAAGCAATAATATTTTAGCATGGGAAGTGTTCTGCTTCTTTAACGTGATTCTTGGCAATAGTACATCTTCTAGAACATATTTGACTAATGGATAATGGTACAGTACAAAACCAGGTATGAACCTTCAGTCTAAAGTGGGTTTGTAACAGTGGCGTTTATTAGGTATTTATAGTGGTTTGTACAATGCATTCTGGGAATCGAGTCTTTGCCTGATTATTTTGGTGGGAACACAGTGGATGGAAGGTCCCAGGCCTTATTTTTGTTGCTTGCTCCATGACGTCCTACAGTTTTTAGTACTGGGTGAAAACATGAGGATGAAATAAAACTAGTTAGTTTTGTATAGAAGAATGACACATTTTCTGAGCTCACCGACAAGACTCGTGTCAATGCAGAGTTATGCAAAGCAAAAATGAAATGTATTAATGTAAACAGTTTTCTGTGAAGAGTCAGTGAGAGCCTGGGGGGTGTTTTCCTAAGAGTTCAACAGGGGGAGTATCTGACATTCCCAGTTATTGCTGAACATTAATGCCAATATTGTATCATATGGTATTTAGGCATGCAGTTTTCAGAATTGTTGACGTTTCACACAATGTCTGTACCTTTAATTCATATTTGGTCTACTAGTATGATTTCATGTGGCTTACTATAAAAGTTATCTTTGTATTTATGTATCAGCACCAGCATCAGACGGATTCGGGTTCAACATTGCCTATAACATAATGTTCACTGTGAGAAAGGTTTATTTTTTTGTTGTAGGTTTAGACTTCATTGTTTTGACACTGTATCTTTTTTTTTCTCAAACAGGATTTACTGTATGAAATAGCTTTGTATGACTGAATTTTTCTCAATTTTTCAAAAGTAAAAATGTGGCCACTTGTTCAAGCTTGGTCTCTGCATTATCTGTTAAATAAAGGACAAATTCCTCAAATAATTACATTATTTTTCAATTAATTTGACTTTTTAAATTATATATATTTTCATAATTTACCTTATTATAACTTTGTAACATTTTCAGCTATGGAAACAAGGGCGTAGGTTTGGTTTCATCATTTGTAGGGATTAAATCAGCCCCGAACCCCAACCACCCCCCCCCAAAAAAAAATAAAAAATAAAAAAACATACACAGTACTCCCACGATATTGGTAGATACTTGTCCCTACCCTCCATACCCAAATATACGTCCTTGTGCAAAAGCTTACACAAAACACATGAAAATTTTCCATCCTTAAACAGATGGCAAGGCAAGATACTATATCGTTTCCTGGCTAGACATAATTAACTTAATCATGCAGGCTAATGTTTGTTTTGTTGAAGCCATTTAATGTAATGTGATAGCACTTTAATAGTTAACCATATTCCATATTACATTTGCATGAAATTCCTGTAAATATGACGGGAAGTCAGTAAAAAGTGAGCAAAAACTCTGTGAGCAGTTGAATATATTTTTTTAGAAAGATCTAGCTAATACTCCATAATGCAGCTGTTTGTTTTCGCCGACTATAGGAAGGACTTGCAGCTGTATTATTGTGTACACTTAAGTGGCAAGTGAATGAGTCTCCATGCGTAAGTGTGATGGCTCTGCGCTTATCACAGTGTATAGTGTTGATAGCCTTGCTGTTTTAAAGCCTTTCATCTTGACATCTCACCGGGCTTGTTGAGCAATCTGTTACGGTTTGATTGAGAAGCTATCAACAACTTTGGGTGGTGTAACTTCATGCAGATACTGGTAGGTCTCACCTATGGTTAAGTACCCTTGCAAGGACAAGCAGACTCTATTGGTTTCTGCCCTCCTGTTTCAATAGCAAATTTAATTATTTTTTCCAGACATTCTCGACAAAACAATAAGGAAAAAAAAATGCAAAAAATGGGTTAATGGCTATTTCAGAACAGAGATTTTCTGTGTTGTCTGCAACTTATTTATTTGATTTGTTGTGCTACCAATACTTTTTACACTATTCCTATTTGTATGCCCTATGGATGTGTCCATATAAGAACACTTTAATTGTTAGCATTTTATTTTTTATAAAACTGCTTGAGGTCTTGGTTTTCAACTCAGAATAAATCTTTGATTATATTTTTTTTTCAGTATGTGTTTTGTCTGCTTGCAGTGTGGCTTTGCTGGAATAGGATGACGTTCTTCCTCCGCGGTGCCAGCCGCTGTTAGCATAGTGATGCAGATAAATGGGCTGAAGGACCATGGCAACGCTGGGACATGCCGGCACCGTCGTCACCTGCTAAACTCCATTTGTATAATATCTAAAGGGCCGACACAGAGATGCATGCAAAATAAGGGGAAGGTGGCGACTTTAGGGGGACGGCTGAGAGACAGATTACAGCAAGGAGAGTGTTTGATGAATAGGAGGTGACAGCCTGCCACCGAGGGTCAGCGATGGACCCTCACCTCCAGCTCGCTGTTTCATGTTCACTTTGTGTCCCTAGCCGTAAGGGCAAACGGTGGGGAACCAGTTCTCAGAAGTCTGCAGAGGTCTGGAGAAGGTGGTTGACCCAGGTGAGACCGATGTGTGGTGTTTGCAAAGGAAATATTTGTGTCACGCATCACTTTGTATCTATAAAAATGTACCACCAAGATATATTCTCTGGAAGCATGGTGATGTAATGGAAAGGGTTTGAAAGGCCTGCATCTAGCCTTCATTAAAATCTCATTTTGTTAAGAAAAACTGCACAATACAGCCCTGCCAAATAAATACAAATGTATTCATAAGATAATGGAAGATTATGTCTATGGTAAACTGGCTACAGATTTCCAGGCTTCAGTTATCTCTGGTTTACCAGTCTCCGAAAAAAAAATTAAGATCAGTAACAATATATGTTTTCATTGTTCCGTCATCCTTTGAGTGGTATAAAAAGCGTGATTTTCATTGCTCTGTCATCCCTTGATACATGATATATTTTCGTTGCCCTATCGTCTCTTGAGAATTAGGCTAAAATTTAAAAGTACCACTTGTTTGTTCATTTGAAAGAGTACAGTTGTACAGTACTGAATAATAATGCACTTTATTATTACTGTGTTTAATATTGGTAACATCTTACTGTGCATAATTGATCAATTACCATATATAAGTACACGAAAATCACACACACATATAGGCGTGTGTGTGTGTGTGTGTGTGTGTATGATATATGATCTGGAGTCTGCAGGTGGTTTGCTGTTATCTACAGTTTCAGCTATCTGCCTTAGATCTTGGAATGTATTATCTGTGGATATGGGGGACCACTGTACTCATAAAAAGCTGTATCCCTTTATCAATCCCATTTATTTTTATATAGTGCCTTTCACAACAGAGTTGCCCCAAGGCGCTTGACAAGGGCAATCCATAATTACATCATTTATATAGAATGGTACATGAAACAGGTAAAAGGTGAAGATGGACAATAATAGAAGACAGTGGAGGAGAGGAACCAAAAACGCTAAAGTAGTGAGAAGAAGAACCTCTGGGGGTGCAGTGTCAGCTGGCTGCCCCCGGGCAGGATAGCATAACTGACAGAATGGGCCTGCTTGCAAAAAGCAAGGCGTCATAATCAAAGTCAGCAATGAGTAATTTTTCCAGGCAGGTCTGTGTCAGTCGGCAGATTATGTGCCGCACCTATAATGTCACGGTTAAATTAATAAATTGGCCTGTTTGTTTGAAGGATGCCCAATTATGGGTAGACTTAATAAGGTAATTAATTACTCATTAGGTAATTAATTGCTCATTACGTTTAGGAGATTACGGTTTCCCAGGACGGATTGTAGGAAAGTCTGAACATCTTTTAAAGGTGAGGGAGTCCCGAAATGCCTCTGTGGGGGAGGGAATCAGGAGGACCGGCCATGTTCAGCTATCAGATATGGGGGGGGGGGGGGCATTTATCCAGCCGCCATGTGTTAGAAAATGTTTTGTTTGCTCCTCGACAGGAGCACAGCGCTGTAGGCCAGTAGGAACCCCAGCCATCGGGGCCCTTACCTGGGCTGTAACACTGCAAGGCTGCCTTGGTTGCACAGCAGCAGAGTACAGTGTATGGATTAAGCAAGTTAAAGCCACAATCACATGGAGGGAATCCTGGGAAGGTTTTTTAAAATCTGTTTCATCTCACTGATGGCAACAAAGCTGTCAGGCTTTCTGATCTGTCACAGCACGCCAGAGTAATTATGATAATTAGTCTTTTTTGTATTTTATCATACTTAACAAAGAATTTGAAAGCAGTAATTGTGTGTAACTTTTTGAAAGTTTCTTGCCTTATTATTGTCTTGTTCTTTAATTAGACAATCAAAAATTATTCTGGGTCACATATTCAATTTGTAACCTTTTAAAACCTAGCACACTGGTTGTTTCGTTTGCACACTACAGGACTCCAAATTGTGAGCTGTCTTACCACTGTCTTATCACTTAACACAGTGCAGCGGGGTTGGGGTTAGGATTAGGGTTAGGGTTAGGCTGCCAGTGCTGATTAGAGGAAAACTGCATTCTTCACTGCTGGCAGGTCCCTGACAGAATGCAGAATGATGTCACATATAATCAAAAGTAATCAGAATTCTATCTTGGGGCAGCAGAGAGGTTCAGTGGGAAGCACTGTTTCCTGACACATCCCGGATCGTGGGTTTGATGCCTGTCCATGGTTCCGTGTGTCCGGGGTTTGCAGGTTCTCCCCCTGTGTTTATGTGGGGTTCCCGCAGTCCAATTAGGTGTAGTTTCGAAGATCCACATCCCTAAATTTCCTGTAATGTGAACAATGAAATAGATGGGCATCCCATCCAGGAAGTCCACTGCCTCATGCCATGTGTTTCCTAGGAAAGGCTCCATACCCCTGTACCGGACAATGTGCGGATAATCCTCCTGTTATACCATATACTTTGAATGTCATTTAAAAAGTCTCCATCCTAAAAATGATTTCAATGAGTCCAAGTTATCAAAGAACACATATCAAAGGCAACCCGACTGCTTTCTGGCATTATCATCTTATCAGTTTTGTTAAACCAAAATCAATTCTAATCTTACAGCACTTTTTTGCAACCACTAAATGCATCAAGGTATAAAATTAGCACTGATCGAATTAGTTCTGATGTACTGTAGAAGACTGTGCCCCCAACAAACTATCCTGCAGAAAAAAGGGCAGGCTTATTAGACTAAAATGAATTGAAAGAATAGATTGGTGGTATAAAACTGTTTTGCAATAGATTATATGTGTGACCACTCCACTGGAATTCAATTTCATCTTGTTAAACGCTCAAAAATGATTTCAATCAAGTTACTGGACAGTCTCCCTCCCTCACCCCACATCCCGGTCATGAATATAAATTATCTTGATTGCTTAGCCGAACACTTAAAGGCTATTTAACCATATAATAAAAGTGTGACTGAAGTATTGCGGGACTGGAATGGACTGTCAGTACTGCCCTCTCACACCTCCAAGGTCGGGGGTTTGAATCCTGCCCCAGTTGAGGGGTGGGGGGGGGGCTTGCATCTTCTCCCATGTTATACAGGTTTCCCCCAGCTTCTCCAGTTTCCTCCCAGTCTAAACACACAGCACTGATGCAGTCCTAATCCCTCTGAAGAACTAGCATTCTGTCCAAAGTATTCCCCTGTCTTTTGCACTGTGCTGCTTGGAATTAAGTTTGAAAATGCAACGTTTTTGCCATTTGCCTGTCTGAGTATTTGTGCTTTGTATGTTTCTGCTAATATCAAATAAACTGATAAGAACACTCGGGGAAGGTGCTTAAATCTGGAACTTGGAAAGATGAATTTTCAAATGCGTACCTTTGGGGTTCATTTTCCATCTACTGTGTATCTCTTTGTTTGTCCCACTGGCCTCAGAAACGTACTTCAATCAACAGGCAGAACTTATTTAGCACCAACAGGTAACTGCAGATTATACTGACTGGTGTAGATAAGATTGTGTATATACACATTACCACTGGAAATCAGAGAATAGGAT